GGTGTAGAGCGGGATGGAGTCTGCTCCAGGTGGAAAGATCAGCTGGGCCCTCCTTCAGCTGCCTGGGCCAGAGAGCGTGATCTTGCGTGTGGGATGCCAGAGGGGAGCTATTGCCTTTGGGACAGCTCTCTGTCTGGCTTGTGTCACAGCTGAAGAGCCTATTCAGGGAGCAGACAGCACAGGTGACAGCCTGAAGTTGGATCAGTGCCCTACATGTTCAGTATGTGCATGTGTGTGAATCCACAGGTGGAACATGTGAAAGGAGAGATTATTTATAAAACATCTGCACCTCTCCAGCTTTGGGTTATGATTTGAGAGGTTAACTAAGTACAGTTAGAAGGGGAAAAGGGCCTACAGCCTATTTGGGGATTCACAGTGATTTTTACTTGGTTTTGATGATTTCAAAACTAGGAGATCCAAAGGAAAGCTGCAAGCCCTACAGAGCTAGAAGCTAGAATGCAGAGAGGCTGTCTTAAGAGAAGTAAGGCATGTGCCACCCCCTCGGCAGAAAGAATTTAGGGAGTTCTTCTGATGCCTGATGCCTGTAGAGGGAATTAGAGAGTCAGGGTCCAGATGTCTGCCCTGAGGCTGAATTTGTGATTGCCTTTTGCAAAGGCAATCCCATGCAGCATTGGCTAGGCAGGAGGGAGACCTTTGGGACCTGGGAGACCCCTTCCTCCAACTCTGGCTATTTGGTAGGTTCAGAAGATGCTGGGATCTTGGTTCTTAACCAGCTCATTGACTGGTGACTCCCTGATGACCCCATTCTTAAAGCCCTCTCATGTGCATTATCCCCTGGACCCTTGAGAGGAGCTCTGGTGGTGTAGTGCCTAAGGCTTTTGATTCCTAACCAGAAGGCTGGAAGTTCAAACTCACCAGCACTCCTCAGAAGGACGACTGGGCAATCTACTTCCATAGAGATACTACCTCGTAAACCCAAGGAAGGGTCACTATGAGTCGGATTGACTCTACAGCAGTGAGTTTGGATTTTTTTTTTTTTTTTTGGTACCCTTGAGTGGTTGGTAGACATTCTTCCTCCTGCCTTTAGAAGTGATGAACCTGAGGTGAATGAGATCAGCTGATTGGGCCAAGTTTCCCCAACTAATGAGTAGTGAAGCCAGGATACAAACCGTGTCCTCTGGAAACCTCCTGGGCTGGGCAGAGGATCAGAGCTTTTCAGCTCAGAGATGTACAACCTGGAAGGAGAGTTCTAGCCTCTAACCTATCTTCCTAAACACCCTGGGTAAAAATCACCTGGGAAGAGTGAAGACATCCCTAAGAGGCCAGTAAAATGTCCCTTACCTGTTTACAAGAAGGCCCCACCTTTGACTGCAAACACTACCAGTGCAGGTTACTTGCCTTAGTCCACGTCACTTTGGCTTCCTTGCTGTGCTAATGTTTTCTGGGCCTGAGTCCCTGCTCTTTGAGTTCACTGAGCTTCTCCTGGGTCTCAAGGCCCCCACCTGCTGGGGTAGGTTGGCTGGCTCTGAGATGTGATTTTTCTCTGGGCTTGGACCCTTAGGGTAATCACCAAAAGGCACTGACACATGCTTCTGGGCAAAGTACTCATGGCTGAGCCAGTGTCCTATGTAGAAAGGCCTCTGCCTTGTGCCTGGTCCTTCTCTGACCTTCACTGCTCTTGCCTGTTAGGGCCTCAGTTGGTTTATCTTTAAAATGGGAATGACATCACTGTCCTGCCCCTCATAGTGCAGCTGGGAGAACAGCGAGATCCTGGATAGCAAGGTCTTGGGGTTGCTGCACATGAGAGGGGCTTTTCCACAATTGCCAGCACCCTTAGCAGTTCCTGAGAGCATGAACTTAGCCTCGCCTGAGAGCATGAACTTGGCCCAAAGGCTTATAAGACCAATGATCTAAGGGTCCAAATTCTAACCCCCACTCCCCAGGAAAGAAAAACAACCCAAAGTAAAACCTAGGGCAAACAGAACGTTCTTAGGTTTCACTTCCAAGTAACAAACATTAGCAGAATTGGCCGAGCATTACCAAACTCATCTCACTCACATCTGGCCTCCTGCTCTGCACCGAGCCCCTCTCCTCACCGACTCCCCAGGGCTCCCGCCTACCAGTTGAGGGGTGGGGAGGAGGGGCAGCCTCACAGACAGATTCCAGACAATGGCTTTGCATTCCAGCTCTAGTCCAGGAGCTGATGGAAAGATGAGGAAAGTGGAAATGAAGACAGGGCCCTCACCTCCACTCCCCCACAGGCAGTGCCCCATTGGGCCCCTGTGCCACCTCGGGCAGCAGAGGCTGTTGCCTTTGGCAGAGAGTGGGTTGTCCCTGCATAAGAGACACCCGCCTTCTGCTTCCCAGCTCAGCAGGAGAGAGGCCGGAGGGAGGGTGCCACATACAGTGCTGAGGAAACGAGGGAGGGGGCCCTGCAGCTGAGCAGCAGTGGAGCTCTCAGAGCCCCACCAAGGTCCTTACTGGGTGGAGGACTTGGATGGAGATACGATTATTAATATATTAGCAAACTGTTACCATGTGGCCAGGACACAACAATGACAGGACAGAGAAGCTGGGGTGGAAGGTATCTTAGGACTTGGAGGGACTTCTAGGGCAGGAAGGAGAGATCCTGGCAGAGCTGTGGACTCCCTTCTTGAGCCTCTCCCATGGGTTGTGTGGTAGTTATGTTTGTGTGTCAACTTGGCTGGGCCTGGTTGAGTGGCAGGCCAGCTGGTGGTAGTTATTCCCCATGATGGGACTGGCAATCAGCTCCATGATGGGATCTACCACAAGCAGCTGAGAGCTGCCTTTGGACTGTGCTCTGCTTCCTGTATTTAAGGAGAAGCCTTGGTAATGGTCTGTAGCCTATGGCACGCTTGGACTCTGCATGTAGCCGTGTCATTGCTCAACAGCCTGCTATCCTATGCCGACTTTGGGACTTACAATGGACTTAAGTTAATGGCCTGTCGTGTGGTTTGGTAACATCGGGACTGTGCCTTTTTACTTGTTAACCTTGGGGCTTCTCAGCCTCAGCAGCCAGCATCTGTCTGAGTGAAGAAAAGCCTCTAGCTCCAGTGGGCTGGGAGCAGGAGGCAGAGATGGACCCCAAGGTTGAGGGGCTTTCACCCAACCCCTAAAGCCTGGCACTTTGCACTTGGACTTAAAGCCTCCAAATTGTAAGAGTAAACTCCTGTTTATTAAGGCTGTCCCATTTGTGGTATATTCCTATCAGAGTGGCACTAAGTAACCAGAACAGGCTGGAAGAAAGGTCCACAGAAATCAGGAACACCATGATTGTGTGTGCATGTGTATGTATGTGTGTGTATGTATGTGCATGGTTGTGTGTGCAGGGCATGTAGAGTCTCATGACTTGAAGAGACAAGACAAGAAGCTCCTATCCCTTGTCAGCCATTGCAAGGACAGTTGTTATAGCAACTGGTCAGTTCTGGCCTCTTCTCAGCCCTGAAGTCAGAAGCCTCTAGAGACAAAGTTCAAGTCATGAAAATAGGATTCATATTTTGCTTTGTGTGGAATAGTGATGCTGCCAGCCTCCTTCCTTCATTATCCCTATTTAGGAAATGGTAACGATGCCTCACCCTGTCTCTGAAGAGGAACTGATTGGCTGATTCATTCAATCAACGAGTATTATTTCCCCACTGCCATGTGCCAGGCTCTGTGATACCTCCTCCCCATCTCCCAGGACACCTGGCTCCAGTGCCTCCTGGGCTCAGGATTTAGTTTGCTCAGGCTCTGAGCTGGTGACTCATCCTCTTAAAAGTTTTTAACTTCCAAAAAATTCATTTTTAAAAATGGATTATTTTGGTAAATATCATCCAAATAGTCAAAGAGCATCATAAGTGAGGCTCCAGATGAGCTAATGGCTGGAACTGAGATAAAATAGAGAATAGTTTGTAAAATCATTGAGTGTATATGTAAGACGAAGAAGACAGCATTTTGTGTAAACAAATACTTTGCAACTTGGCTTGAAAAATGGATTTTTCTAATTATACAATTAATACAAACTCATCACAGGAAACAAACAAAATACCCAGAAAATCCAGAATATCCAAAATACCCAAAAAAGCAGAAAGAAGTATAAAGTCCCTATAGTCACCTCCAGCTAGAGGCTTATAAAAAAAATCTCTCATTCAGAGCAACCCATAACATCACTGGGTACAGCTTTCCCAGTTCATTTATATACGCACATAAATATTCACATATATTACAAAATGGGGTCATGGTACACATTGTTGTATAAACTGATTTTTCTCTTAAAGTAGTATAGCACTTTTCCAAGTCCATGGATATATTCCTGAAACTCTTTTTAATGGATCTATGAGGTAGTTAGGAGTCAGCCTAGGGCACCATCTGGACACCATGGCCTTCCTCTTTTTAAGAAACTGGGGACACTATCCTGAGGCTGCTTGCTCCAGGGAGAGGAGTCACTACTATGGTCCCAGTGAACCAAGCTCCTCTGACAAGGCCAACTGTTTGGGTTTGAGAACAGTTCTTTCTCAGAGTGTTGGCTGGTGCGACACCCCAGAGGAACCTCACTCAATTCCCATTATGTTTAGTGTTCCTCCTTTCTACCCAAGGTTAAAACCCAACTCTCTCTGACATGTCCAGAGCTTCAAAGGGCTCAGAAACTTCCCCACCCCAGCACCATTTGGGCCAGCAGAGACTACCCCCCAGTCCACACCTAGCATGGCTTCATCCAGAAAGGCCCCCTGGCATGCCCTTACCTCAGGATTCCATCTGTGAGTTGTTGAAAGGAAGGGGATGGATCTCAAGATCAGAAGAGTCCAAAGTGGATTTCCCAAGCAATAAGGAAATTGAGGAAGAGGTGGTGGTAGGGGACTGGGACCCTAGAACTTGGAAGATGGCACCTTGATCCTAATGATGAGGTGAGGTCCTAGGTTCAGGATCAGGTCATGGGGGTGAATGCTTTGTTCTATGTTGTGTTTCCATCTACTGTTCATTCATTTTTTCTCCCTTGCCTGCTTCCTCACTCTCCTCTCCTCTTCTCCTCTTGGCTGCTGCAGGGCAGGATGGAGAACAAAGCCATGTACCTGCACACTGTCAGCGACCGAGATACTGGCTCCATCTTTGAGGAGCCCTTTGATGGCAGAAGCCTCTCCAAGCTGAACCTTTGTGAGGATGGTGAGTTCTTTAGGCTACACCTTGGGTTGGGCTAGAATGTCTTCCCTAGAAGTGGGAAAGGAACTTGCCTGCCCCCTACCCCAAACTTGGCATTGCCCCAGGGTGTTGGTGACCTCCTCATCTGATTCTGCATATTTTGAACTTCATGCTTTGAAAGTTCTTTTCCATGTGTTTGCTCATTCATTCATCTCAACAAACCTGTGAAATTGGCAAGGTGGGTACACATTTTACAGAGGCTGAGAAAAGCATTAAGGATCATGTAGTCAGTCAGTCACAGAGAAATTCCAGCACTGAGTCTTCTGACTCCCAGGGCAGTACTCTTGCCTCTATACCACTTACTCTAACTGAGTGAGGCTCTTGTCAGACAAGGGCATCCAAGCCAATCAGCCCAGTCCTCTCAAATGAGGAGCATTCTGAACAGAGAACATATTTCTCCCATGTGCTCATTCACCCCCTGGGGAATACCCATTCCAGTGATCCACAAAGGCACTCACTCATCTTTGGGGACTGGTTATTTACTAAAACTCTGGGGATTCAACTGATGTAGCTTCCTCAAAGGGATATCAAAGTACTTTACCAACAACCTGACTCTTCTGCACCCAGCACGAAGTTTGACCTTTAGTGGGTGCTTAATAAATGCTTGCTGCATAAATGAATAGACTCTTCTTGGCAGTAAATGTAGAAGAAAGTATCAACCCAATTTGAAAGATGAATAAAATGAGGCTTTGAGAAGGTTCTTGTGTAGACATATGGCCAATCAGATAGAGTCAGGCCTGGATTCAAGTTCCTATCAAGCCCTGGACTTGACTTTACTCCACTCTGCCTTTATCTTGAATTTACTCAAAAAGAGAAATGACTCCCCTCGTGCCTCAAACCTGTCTTTCCTCTCACAAGGGGCTGAGTGTAGGAAAGGAAACTGTGGCTCAGACAGGCAGGGGGGCAGGGATAGTCTGAATAGATAGAGGAGACCAGGAGATTTGGGCTTCTGACCAATATGCCTCCTTGTTCTGCCCCAATGAACTGCCCACCATTTCAGTTCTACCTCTGGATTCCAGTCAATAACATATTTTAAGTGCCCACAATGTCCCAGATATGCTCTCAAGAACAGTTAAAACAGCCCTTGACCTCCAACAATTTACAATCCCAGGGGAAGGGAATGGTGTGCTGACTAACCATAATATATGACTGATAAAAATTAATGTAATTATTGGAATAAACCAGGTAGAAGGGTTTCTGGAAAAGGCCTTGAAGACTGAATGAGATTTTATAGAAGAAGCAAAACCAGTGAAGAAGTATATCTAGATCTAGTTATACAAAGAGAGAGAGAAAGAGAAAGAGAAATTTATCTCAAGGAAATGGCTCATGCAGTTGTAGAGGCTGGCAAGTCCCAAGTCTAGGGGTCAAACATCAAGGTGGAAGCTTCTCCTGACTCGTGAAGCTGCGGGAGTTGATGAACCCGAGGCTGGCAGGCAATACAGCAGGCTGCTGGCTTTGGAGACTGATGAATCCAAGATCAGCAGGTAAAATGGCAGATTGTTGGCTTATAGGTTGTGAAGGCAATAATCCCAAGATTGGCAGGCAATATGGCAGGCCACTGGTTCATGTCCAGATAATGATGAGTCAGATGAAGGATGCCAAGCAAAAAGCCAGAGACCTTTCCCGGAGCTCTTCTGTATATATTGAAAGCAGGTCACACCCTGAAGGAAACTCCCTTTCAACTCCCTTTCTGCTCACAGCAGATCGCATCATGGAGGTGATTACATTATATCAGATCTCATCACGGGGGATGACTACATTATAACTGCTAAACCACTTAGAGTCACAGCTCAGCCTAGTGGACACACAACCTTAACAATTCAGATGGGGAGAGGTATTCCATGCTGAGTTACTCCAAACCAGAGCAACATCTCGGTGAGGCTCGTGGCCACGTGGGAGGTCAGGAAGGATCCTGGGGAGCTGAGTCCCTGGCCCTTGCTCAGCCCTCCCCATCAGCATATCAAGGAAGGTGAAGCTGGCTTTCTATATTCCTGATCTAGCCTTTTCCCCCACTGACACTTTAGCAAAGAGGGCTGGTTTTGCAAGAAAGTATGGAGTACACATAGTAGGAAAATTTAAAGACACTCAAGGCCAGCCTGGATGCCAGTGGGGAAGGGCAGGGTGAGGGGCCATAGGAATGGAAAGGCCTTGGGGGGATGGTACTACTGGAGCATTGTACCTTCTTTTCCTTTCCTTATATTACTCATTGTTTTTCTGAACCTAATGAGGAAAAACTCATTTGGACCAGAAAAAAAAAAAAAAAAAAAAAAACTCACTGCTGTTGAGTTGGGTCCGACTCATAGCGACCCCTCCTTGGGTTTCCAAGGTGGTATCACTATGGAAGTAGATTGCCCAATCTTCCTTCTGAGGAGCGGCTGGTGGGTTTGAAGCAGAAGCACTGGAAAATAATGTTGATCTCAGACACTGTGCTTTCTAAGATCCCCAGGTGTGGGGAGAATCCATTCAGAGGGCAGTTTTAGAGCCATGCTTACATGACTCCTGTGATGTGGCATCTCTGGGTGGTGCAAATGGTTAACATGCTTGACTGCTAACTGAAATTTTGTAGGTTTCAGTCGACCCAGGAGCACCTTGGCAGAAAGGCCTGGTGATTTACTTTTAAAAAATCAGCCTTTGAAAACCCTATGGAGCACAGTTATACTCTGACACACATGGGGTCACCATTGAGTTGCAAACAGCTGGGAGATAAACCTGAGGCATAGGGCACATGGGAAAACCAGGAAGACTGGAGTGTTGAGATTAATCCAATGGTTTAAAAGCTTGTGGATTTGTGGTTTGACTTCCTTTCCTCTTCATTTCAAGGAGGAAAACAGTGAAGTCTGAGTTGGGAAAATTCAAACCAGATTTGATCTGTTTCTCCAGGATTTTGATTCTTCTTTGATCCTGGACTCTGGATGGGAGAGCATAGGGCTGGTCATGGGAAGTGTGAGGAAGGTTGACAGGAGAGAAGAGAGATAGAAAGAGATGGGGAAGGGGAGGGAGACCCCAAGTGCAAGTGAGCCAAAGTCAAAGCCATATCATGGGTCTTCAGTAAATTAAAGTATTGGGGCTTATAAGCCCTTCAGGAAAAGAGATAGGGAGGAAGGCAAGAGAGAAGGTTCAGAGCTGACCCTAAGGATGTTAGGATCAATGGAAGCAAAGTAGTCAAAGTGCAGCCCAGATATTAAAGTATAAATCAGACTTAATGCTGGTGGGACTTTGAAGACATTAGGTTATAAGCATGTTCTTTTAGAGGTCATACATGGCCCACACCCTTTCTGACACACCTAGATTTCCAGCCTCATCCTTCTCACCCCCATCACTCACAACATGAATTCATAGGGGTCTGCCTATACTTTCTTCCTTCTGTGCCTTTGTAGCCACCTTCTAGAACATTCCGCATCCCCCCCCCCCCATCATATTCATATTCCTTACCTGCCAGTACCCAATTCATCCTTTCAAGCTCCATCCCAATGCCATAGTTGCTCCATGAGTTCTCCCATTGAAGTATGTCCCCACTCTGGGAGGTGAGGTGTTTTACTCTGACATAGCACATGCTGTTAGGTAGCATGGCTACTCATCCTTACTGGATGTTCCTTGAGGTTAGAGAAATTGTATCACTCTTCTTTGAATTCTCTTGGTGCCTGGTACACAGCAGGTGCTCAAGAAAGCTTTGTGATTGCTGGTAAGTGACTTGCCCAAGGCTACTCCACTGGTTAGTGGCAGAGCTGGACCCTTAATCCAGCACTCCATAGTTGTAATTCAGGGCTCTGTCTAAGAAAGGAATATGACCAGTTTTGGGGTGAATGGTACTGAGCACTAACTCTCCTCACCTTTGATTCCAAACCAATTGAGAAACAGACTAGGAGCCAGGTGGGAATTAGGATACAGTGTCTGCCTTATTCCTGGTGAAGCTAAATCCAAGGACATGGCTTGGACCTATGGCTTGTCGTTACTTCTCCCAAGTTGAGACCTGGAGTCGTGTTCATGGGGAGACACTCACTCAGCCAGCCACATGGAGGACAGTGACCTGCTCACTTCTCTTTGAGCACAGACCAGCAAGCATGACAGCTTGCACCTGGGCACTCATCAGAAATCAGGACAATTGGATGTCAGGTGATGGCTACCTCCCCAGTCAGATGGGGCAGACCTTCCTTCCAAACACTGAAGTTCTGAGAAGTTCCTATTTTATGGGTTTGGAAAGATTCTCCAGACAGAAAGAAGTTCCCTGCTGCAACTGGAGGTGGGGCCTGGGAAACAAGAGAGGAGGTGTGAGGGGAAGCAGCCTCATGCCACAGGCTGGGCAGGGACCTGTTGTCCAGGGAGCTTCCTCAGCAGAAAGGAAGAGACCTTTACCTGAGCAGTGAGCCTGCTATCACCAAACCACTTCTTCAGATTACTTGTTGCTTTTTCTCACTTCTCACCTCTGCTCTCCTTTTCCTCTTCTCTCCTTTCCTCCCACCCTGATTTATTTCTTACCTTAATCTCACCAGGTGAGAAGGGAAAATAAGGGACTGTCACATGCCTTGGTGCCTCTGTCTCCACACCACGAGATGCCATATTTTGCATGTCAAATCTCCCATCCTTCAAGGCTCACCTTCCCCCTTGCTTGCCCTAGTGATGTCATAGGACCTACCTGCTCTATAGACCTTGGTTAGACCATCTCTCTGCAACCTGGCTCCTGCCTTGTATCTTATTCATTGGCATCTGCACCTGAACTCTACGCTGGGAGGGAAGACCCTGAGGGCAGAGATCAGGCCTTCTAACCTGTCTCCAGTGGACAACAGCAGAGATCCACCTGTGCTGCTGGAAGGGCTAATCCCAGAATGCAGCCTTCCCTGGCCTTGGCATGGTCATTTACACCTCTCTTCAAACAGACAACCAAACAAGAGGACATATGGACCTGCTTTTCTTCTCACCACCTTAACCTCTCTCCTCCTCTTCCCACCCCCTAACCTTCACAGGTT